TCGAGTCTTGGAATCCATCACAATCGGTTGCCAAAACTCTGAAATGGACTCTTGACGATCTGTTGTAAGGGTCAGACAACAGTAGGAGACGTCTTCTGGGCAAAACCAGTACAAAGGAACAATGAACTGGAATCAATAACAGGGTTTCTGGCAGCTTGACCTGTAGTTCTTCTGAAACAGGGAGTTTTATGCAGCAAATTCCATGAGCAAGAAGGTTTTGCTGCAACGATCCAAGGGCAGTGGGCATCACGGACCTACAAGAATGTATTCCGAGGCTAATATAACGAGAACGTTAATATTACCTTCAGGCTGCGGAAATGTGTGGGAGGAAAAGAAAAAAAAAAAGACAATGATCATCTCAATCTGAAGTGAAAACAAGCTGCGCGTACTTGCATTAAGAAAACTTACACTCTTGATTAGGTGATGCGGGTGTGTTGCCGTGGCCAGTTGAACTGGCCAGCTCTTAGGCTGGCTGGACCGATCTAGACATGGTTCGGTTGGACTGGTCCCTTCTCCCTTCTCCTGCGCATTAGAGCGGGATTTATTTCCCGATCCCGTGACCTCCCCTTCCTATTCGAGGCCCTATAATTGCCACTTCCTCCTGCTGCTTCCCTCCTCTTCCTATTCAAGCTTTGCCATAGGGGAACTTTTTCCTATTTTGCATCCCTTACCTTCAAAGTTCTTTCCTCCTCCAAGTCTTGCCTCTTTTTTATACTAATATCAATTATAAATATATGCTTGCTTGCCTAAGATAGGTTAGTTGATTGATTTTTAAATTCAGATTGTCGCTGCCGGCATTCTTTTCTTTGAAGGTTGTATCCGAGGGCGAGGAAATGTTTCGACCGTCCCTCGTCCTAGGTGGTGACCCTCTCCAAGGGTCCGGGCAGTGCTTCGGTTGTAGCTCGAACTCGATGGGACATTTCTCTTAGCATTCTTATATTTTCCTACTGTCGTTATATCTTCCAGCCATCGCCGCCCCTTCCCTCCAGCAACCAATCACCTACTTGCTCTCATCCAACCACCACAGTCCCTCTTCCACTGCTGCCAGCTCTGCTGCTTCCCTCGAGACTTACCAGTTGCTATCTTCCTTGTCGACCACCTCCCAGCAGGCCTTCCTGCTCTTCCCAGCAGTCGTTCCACACTCCTTTAGCCACCACAACCCTCTCCTACTGTCGTCTGCCACTGTAGCCCTCTCCTACCGCCATTGTCACCCTTTAGGCTACCTCCAACTACCACAACCCTCTTTCAGTGGCCAGCCGACCCTTCTGCACCCCCCCCCCACACCCCCCTCCCACATGCCGCAAACTACCGTCTCGCAGCCTCCGTCCTCGTCGTCTCTCGTCAACGTTTGTTTTTGTTTGGTTGTCTTGTTTGTTTGTCGGGTATTTCCTGCTTTCCAAGTGTCGTGTTTGGATCTTCTTTCAGTTCAACAATAATATTTATGGTTTAGGTCGGGTTGTGAGTTTTTTCCTGTATTTATTGGTATCAGAGGTAACCCAACCCTAGTTCTATTCTTGGGTTTCCTAGCATCCACCCTAACACCTAAAATTTTGTTCCTACCACCCAATACCCTCTCCACTGCCACATGTTCCTAAGCCCCCTTGTTGATTCTTAAAATCAACAACCTTCACCCAACTATTTTTACCCTCCCTCACCTCTACTAAAAATTTATCTTTTCTATTCCTAAAGTTTAAATCATGCCATCAAGGAGATCTATGCTAGAGCCTCCTCGGGATGCGATATGGCGAGAGCTCCCTCGTCTTCAGCAGAGGCTTATGGATGTTGAATAGGAAATCCAGTGGAAGATTACTCTTAACCGTAATTTGGAAAGTTGAAGGGAAGAACGAGAAAATATGAAGATGAAGCGGGAAACACAACGTCAGTTCTTACCAACTTACTACCACCAAAAGTTGCGAACTCTAGCTTTCGGAGTAGAGAGACCGCATTACCTAGAGACCCCCCTTGCTTCCATCTAGCAAAATCAATCCATAAGTCTGTCATAGCTAGAAAATGTTGCAATTGCCACGAATTTGGACATGTTGAAGTGTAATGCACAACCAAGGGAGTGATCTACTTCATCGAGCAGGGCTTCATCGAAAAGTTGGTTAAAAACACCCTAGACACTGAAGATCAATTCAAACGAGAATTTTCATCTAATGATGTCTTCCCCCGTGGAACTCCCTTGTTCGTCGATACATCCAATTCCTTTTCCCCATGCGATCAAAAGGAACATGCGACTTTTGATGAGACCGCGGTTCCTGCTCCCCTAGAAGATGAAATATTTTTTGTTGAGACATAAAGGTCACGCATGCCAAAAAATAACGAAATTTAAAATTTTAGTGGATGGTCTTAGTAACGACCAACTGATAGCATCATTGGCGGCTACACTTCCATATGGAGAAACGAAAGGCCAGTGTGAAGCTCTTATTATTGGAACATGATAGAAGATGTCAGTTTTCCAAAACTTAAGGAGTCAGAGGGTAAACTTTAAAGATAATAAGAATCACTCATCAACCAAACTCTTGCAAACAATCTCGCTGAGGCCTAACTTTTCATAGATGAGAAGCAGATGAGATATTTACTTATTTGGAATTTGGCTCGGGAGAGCCTATTTCATTGTGTACCTCTGACTCAGATTATGCCAAACTAGAACAAATCGATACGGAGGTATGCTCGCAATCGGGAAAATCTCCTCGGATGCTTTGGGAACCAGTGTTGTCGCCAGTGGGATCCAGGAAAGGTCGGTGAGAACTAGAAGCTTCGACAGATGAAGTCAAAGTCCCCCCCCCACCCCCCCAAATCCCTGGAGACTGACGCAGGTGCGTTGCCGTAGTTGGCTGAACCGACCGGCACTTAGGCCGGCTAGATTGGTTTGGACAGGGGCCAGTTGGACCGGTACCTGCTCCCGCTCATTAGAGAGGGATTTATCTCCCGATCCCGTGACCTTGCCTTCCTATTCGAGGCCTTGGATTTGCCGCTCCCGCCTCCTTCTTCCCTCTTCTTTCTATTCGAGTGTTGCTATAGGGGAACTCCTTCCTATTTTGCATCCCTTACCTTCATAGTTCTTTCCTCCTTCAAGCCTTGCTTGTTTTACCTACTAACTTCAATTATAAATGTTTTTCTACTTGCCTCGGTTAGGGTAGTTGATTGATTTCTGAATTCAGATTGTCGTTGCCGGCGTTGTTCCATTCGAGGAGTGTATCCAAAGGCGAGGAAATGCTCCGGTTGTCCCTAGTCTTAGGTGGTCACTATCTCCAAGGGTCCCGGTGGTGCTTCGACTGTAGCTCAACCCCGTTGTGACATTTATCTTACCATATTTTTGTTTCCCTGCTGCCGTTCCATCTTCCAGCCATCGCCTGCCCTTCCCTCCTACAGCAAGTCGCTTGCATACTCTCATCCAACCACCATAGCCCCTCTTCCACCGCTGCTAGCCCTGTTGCTTCCCTCGAGACTCCTTACAATCTGTCTTCCTTGTCGACCACCTCTCAGCAGTCCCTTCTGCTCTTCCCAGCAGCCGGCTGACACTCCTCAACCACCAAAGCCTTCTTCTGCTGCTACCTGCCACCGCAGTCCTCTCCTATTGTTGTCTGCTACCCTCCCCAGGCTGCCTCCAGCCACCACAACCCTCTCCTAGTGGCCGGTCGCCCCTTCTGCCACCCCCCTGCCACAGCTCCCTTTCACCAGCCACAAACCATTTTCTCGCCCTTTGTCGTATTTTTTTGTTTGGTTGATGTGCTTGTTTGTCGGGTATTTTCTGTTTTTCAAGTATCGTGTTTGAAACCTCTTTCAGTTCAACAATAATGTTTGTGTTTTGGGTCAGAGTGTGGGTTTTCTTCAGTATCATTAATGTGCAACTATAAATATCCACTTTGTTGAACTTTAGAACTACTATTTAATTAAAAAAAGAGAAAAAAAAACCGTTAGAACTTCTATTTTTCTTGTGCATAGCTGTACTGAATCCGAATAGGATAATGACATAACAAAAATGACAATTATGAAGGGCAACGTTATGGCTTGAAATAACATCAATATGGGTACTGAAGGTGCCACCATGGTAGTTTTTTTAGCATTGTTGTGCATCAAAGTCTAAAATCTGAAATTCACTGTAAGATGGATCATTTATGTTAGTAGAGAACGTCAGGGTTGTTTTCGTTTGCTCTAATAAAATTATGGCAATGGCCTGCTATAGCAAATGTTAGGCTTATGTTGTGCTTACATGTTAGCTAAAGGTAACTGGCGTTCCTTGCACTTTAAATTGCTGCACAAACATTGTTTCATTCCTCTGTTTAGCAGTCTAATGACCTCAACAGCTTGTACTCATATCAATAATTTTTCATGGGTATCTTTCTTTAGCTTAGTGTTTTTCATAATCAAATGTAAGTCTATATAATCTTATTGAATAGTTTTATAATTTCAAATTTCTGATTTCTGATTATGATTGTCACATGTGTATCTTTTTTTAAATTGCACTACTGATTCTTTTGTTTTTATTTTGCACAAGAGAACATGATCATTTGTTTTGAAGAAGTGAACAAAGGAAAGTGCTTGAGAGAGGCTCCGCCCATTGGGAGTAATGAGTATCATATGAAAATGTATGTGCTCTGATGTGCATTTTCATGACTTCTTAATTTTCCTAAAATATTAATGTTGTGATCCTTTTTCCACATTCAAAAGTGATAAATTTTGATTGAATGATTAAAATGATTTCTAATATTTTTAGGTGCGTCTATTTTCTAGACATTGTGCTTGAATCGGTTTCTGAATTTATTGAAGTTGAACCAATTTTGTCACTTAAATGGGGAAAATTGATGAAGTTTTCCATGTTGGAATTTTTATTTTTTAGGATTATTTTTAGTTTGAGTTGATATTAAGTCGTGAGATTGAAGCTAATTATTCCAAGCGTTTCTCTACTGATGTTTTTTTTTTTGTTCAAAATAAATGGAAAACTTGACGACAACAAAATTAATTCATAATTATTAGTCAATAACTAAATTGAACTTAAAAAAAGGGGGATTAAAATGGACTCATCTAATAAGTCTAAAGGTCATTTTGGTCATGAACTTGATAAATTTTGTCGCAAAATAATCTTACAAGAAGATTGAATTTGCATTGAAATTAATTGCGCTGGTTCTTTGGAGGATAATATGTTGTTCTTGATGATCATGTATTTTAATCTTGGAAATATTTAGGCTATCGAAATGGGCTATAGAAGTATAATTAAATCTGGTTAAATACCTTGCAAATCACTTTACAAGCTTGCACTAGTCCTGAACCTGATTTATGAAGATCTTCCCATTAAGGTATGTTTAGTCCCATTTACCATGTTTTTCGCCTTTCATAGACTAAAAGCCTTGAATTAGTCTGAGCTGAAAACGGAATCAGCGAATTACAATGTTGATGAGTGGGCTGTTGGATCCCCAATTTTTGATTAATTTTTTTGATAATTAGGCTTATGAGCTGGCCTTAAGTGTCTGTTTGGGTTAACCCTTTAAGTCCATTCCCATTTATGGAGTTCTATTAGGGCATTTAAGTGACATGACTTACTAAATTGGTAGCTCTGCCCTTTAGCATCTCTATGAAAGAGCATCCATGTAATTTTTTTCAATCCTCATCGAGGACTCCATCTCAACCTTGGCATCCTTGGCTTGCATCTTCTCGTCCATCAAGGACTTTGTTCTGGACACTATCTAAAGTAGATCAGCAGCGAAGCTAGCCCGCAACTCCTTGGTAAATGGGACCACATACCTGGCGACTTCGTCGTCAACTGACGATGACCTCTCACTAGATCAGAGTGTTGTGCTCGTAAACAAATCCTTGTGAGTCGAAGGCGTAGACCCTCCCCTTCTTTCTCCCCTCGAGAACTCCTTCCAAATCTTCAAGGCTGATCATTTGAGCTACCAACTCATGCTAGGGTCTGACTTTAGGCATTCTTTAGGTGGGCATACTCATTCTACAGAAGATTATAAAGGGTAACTAACTTTGAAATTAAATTATAAATAAATAAAAAATATTATTCAACTTACGTGGATACGCCGAGATCTGTCATCAACCCACTGCCGATCCGATTGTTTCAACTTAGCAGCGATGGGCTTTTGTCCAAGCATCTGTCTCTGTTAACTTATAAAAATGTTTTAAGAAAAAAAAATTATATAAACTAATTTAATACACTGAATAAATCTTATCATCTTCAGTTTGGGGAGCCAAGCCTCCGGTGTGTGAGGAGGTACCCATGCCCTTATAGTTCGAAGTCTGATTGTGTTGTATTGTCTTCTGAGAGGTCTAAGTTTTGGACAACTCCACCCAGACATTCTCCCTTATTCAAATGGGTCTCTAGTTTTTCTTGTAGTAATCAGTGAGCATATCTCGCAAAGCGGGTTTGCCATCAGGTCTAGAAATTCTTGGGGATGTACTGATGATGATGAGCTTCTCACTAGAGGTGTTTTTCTAAAATAAATATCAAATAATGTTTGTTATTATAAAAATATAATTTGGATTATAATTGTAAATCAAAGTTGTTTAATTTTATCTCGAACTCCCTGAGCCACTTGTCTTGAATTTCAGTTGGAATCTTCCATGATCGATACGAAGTATCATGCATACTCTTGATGATCTCCGTAATCTTGTAACGGGCCGCTTGGATGGATGAATCATTAAAAACATATTAGCTATATATGTAATATAAAAATAATTTCAATCACAATAATTTAAATTATTCATGAATCTTCATTTTGCTCGATGGACAACCGTCTTGAGGTGTCCACCGCAATAGGTTCGATAGGAGCCAAGGGGCCTATCTTGAAGGGGAACTGAGGTGATAGTGTTGTGGGAGTTGTTGGGGTGTGGAAGGCTTGTAACCGAGCAACGAGCCTGATGGGCGTTGATATGGCGGTCGAAGTGGTGATCGTCACAGTCGTGCTTGTCTATATAGTGGGCTGTGAAATTGTCTACTTCTTCCTCTGGAAGAAGCTAGAGACAACTACCCTCTAAGGACCCTGATCATCACTGCCACCTGAAACCATTTGTAAAAAGAAAAAATAAATTAATCAAAAGAATCATATGCAAAAAATAATAGAAGTAAAACCAAAAAATAAAAAAAAATAATAAGAAGAAACAACATAAGTATATGTATGAAATATGATAAGTGCAAAAAAATGAAACCTACAATTACTTGAAATAAAAATAGAAAGAAATTAAAAGCTAGAACTACTCACCCATTTCATTCTATTCATCGAATGAGTGAGTAAATATGGAGCTTAAAATTTTCTTGTTTATATCATCATCAGACTCGTTCACAACATGTGTAATTTGTTCATATACACTAGTAATATCCTCCATGGTAATCCCTGCTTAATAGAATCAATGGGAATATAAAATTTTAATATTTCCTGCTCCTGATGAGCAAGTTCAGGAATACTTTGGCTCAATAGTTGTTCTAGGTTAGTCTTGATGACTACTGCTTAATCAAATGTCTCTTGCTCTACCAAGGTATCTAAAGTAATTTACCTAACTGGCTTGATGTGCTAGAATAAATTGATCAAATTTGATATATGTTCTGCTTATTTTAACTTCAGTGATGTCACATGTTTGGTATGTTCTTGTTTATTGATTAGGAACATGATCAAGTTAATTAAGTTAAATAAGCATGCACTGTGTTCAATAGATTTCGGAAACTGTGATTGCACTTTTTTTTAATGAATTCTATAGTAGTCTTTCTCATTATCATAATATATATTTCTTTTAGCATAAGCACTAAAATTATTTATCTTTTGTCATTCAGGTTAGAAACTTTTGTGAAAACTGTAGCCATTCCCATCAAATATTAATCACACATTCACGCTGGAAGTGGACCGTCATGCTAGGTTTATTAAGTGTTGATCCCTAAATTTATTGTTTTGATTATGAACTCATTTAAAGCATCAAGAGACATGTAATTTGAGTGTTCAATTTACGTACTCGTTAAATAATGAGTTAGTGGAACTTATACATATTTGAATTGCGTTGGGAACTCTATGTTGATCTTTTAATTGATAATACTCTTGTCCTCAATGTTTAACAAACTCACAAATAACTTTGCCCATGAATTAAAATGTTGTAATATGATGAATATAACACTTATATTATTAATATGAACTACTAAATATTATGCGTCTTTGTCGATCAAATAAATGTCGCTGATTTTTTATTTAGGATTTAATTTAATTTAATTATGGATATATATGTGATTATAACTTTATAAAAGAGTATTTTTAACTTTGGAAAATAATGTTTTAATTTAATTTATATATGCCTATAATTTGGGAAAATAATATTATTTTAATTTAGAAAAGTGAGACCGAATGGACCTCATATATTTGATAGTTTAGATGGTTGAGCACGATACCACAAATAGTACGTTATCCTGAATGATAAATATATCATTTGTTAGTAGGCTTAACCACCTAAATTAAATAATTTGTGACGTCCATATGGTCTGCTAAACTTTTTTTTATAAGCCGACAAGTTCCCTTATTTTATACTGGAGATTAAATAAGGTTTACATTAAGCTTGATTCTTAAGTTCCTTATAGAGATAAGTCGCTATAGTTAATTACATCTTAGGCAATTGAAATCACATAAGAAGACTTAATTAAGATTAGTGGTTCTGTCCTCAAGATTTTAAAGTTTCGGTTCCCAATATTGGACATAGGAAAATCAAAAGGGAAGAGCTCAAAATAGGAACAATTATTTTTAAGAGTAAAAGGAGTGAAAGGTAGGAGATGTCACAGATCCGAGAGGAAACCCTAGTGACTTCCCAACTATCCTACTTTTAGGCTTTAACTTTGAAGAGATGTTATATGATGTTTCATCCCTCAAATTTTATTTTTTATGACTTACACTCGCTCGATACCCGATCATGCAAATGACCTAGGGAGACAGAAGGATTTATGTTCTACCGAACGACGACCTCGGAATCCTAAAGAGAATTAGGACTTGTAATGCACAATAGAGTGGTGCAAATGTCTAAAACGGAAGTGAGGATTTATGTTGCACCAAGCGGGCTAACTCGAAGTCCTATGAGTTTGTTATTTATTCTATGAAGATTTCAACTGAGGATCGTTTTTCACTTTGTTGTTGCGGTCTCGATCGTCGCCCTCCACCCGCTTGCTTCCTTGTTCCGCTTCTTAGAAAGGATACTCCAAGCTCCTTAACATACGGTCATAGGCTCAGGGTTTTGGTGTGTATATATATACAGTTGTTAGGTTAGTGGCTCGCCAGAGGGGGTGCCTCTTAAGCCGGGTGTCCTACTATCCTCTATCTTAAAGGTCTGTCGGCACTATTTTGGTTGGGGGAGTTGCCCGTAAGAATCTGTCGGTCACCGGAATCGAAATCTCGTCGCTTCGGAAAGACGTTTTAATTTACATATAGATTTAAGTTTTGAAAAATATGAAATCAAACTGACCCAATATTTTTCATAGTTTAAATGAAAGAGCATTGTACCTAAAATCCTATATCCATCGCGAAGGATAAGCACAAGACTTGAGGATGAGTCGATCAAATAAACTAAAAAATATATGATGTCCGTTTGGTCTGCGAAACCGTTTTATTTGCTGACA